ATGTGAGTCAGTCCGTTTATCAGACTTCCGTTGCATCTATACTCATCCTACATTGGTTGATTCTTGGTTCTGCCCATACTCATTGGAGTATGCAACATGCATGCAGAGGGGAACTAAGGGGTGATGAGGGGAGGAGAGAGAACGTACCTGGTGAATGCTGGTGGTCGGCATTGGTGTTGGCGTCACGGACATTGGTCTTCGACGTCGATGTGATCCAGTCGCATGAACGTTGATAGGAAAGATAGGCTGAGTAGTGTAGGCTGGGCGCTGGGCGCGGGACAGTAGGAGCGACATTGGATACAGTGTTGGTGTGACCATAGAGCGTCGGCATTGGCACTCGAGTTCATTGTAGTGCTCTTATTTGGATGGTATTTTGGTGCATTGTGCGCTCTGCTTGGTACATGACTATCTGGACTACTTCGTGATTTTGCAACTTGGTTTTCTGTCTATCACTCTCGCTGATATTCCTTGCAGAATGTTTTTTTTTTTTTTTTTTTAACCTATTTATGGTGCGCCGTGTGAGGCGTGTTTTGTTGATATCGGACGCCGAAATCACATTTGTGCCTTCACATCTCTCTGCAGGATCACATTGTCAGCTCGGTCTTATTGACGAAAAGAGATACCTTCCTGACGAAGATGGAATACCATGAACTGGTGTACACTGCGTGTATACCTCCGCATTCGAGGGTGCAAATGCTGGGCAATAGAATCGGCATCGTCGATTACGAGCCATTGATCGACAGCGTGCCTCCGGCGATTCTGAAACCTCGACAGCTGTGGACAGGGAAGCAAGTGATTACAACCATCATTAACCATCTGACGAAGGCCCTTCCTCCATTCTCATTGAAAGCGGGCACAAAGGTGCCAGCTGATTATTGGGGTCGTGGGAATGCAGAGGACCAAGTGTGTCTGATCGAGAACGAGCTTATCCATGGTGTCATTGACAAAGCACAGTTTGGGAAATACGGCATGGTACACGCCTTCCAAGAACTCTATGGCTGTAAGATGGCAGGTCGATTCTTGTCAGCGTTGAGCCGTCTTTTCACAGTTTACCTGCAGGTAAGCTGGTCACAGACTTAAAAAAAAAAAAAAAAGAGGGGGAAAGAAACTTAACAAAGGGAGAAGGAAACGAAAGTTGGTGACTCAGCGGTGTATCACCATCTGTTCAATTAACATGTCCTGCAGTATCTAAATAGTGAATTCCCTTTGTTTTCTGTTAAAAAAAAAAAAAAAAAAAAGTTCCCTCTGTCAATGATGAAAGATCTGAATTGGCAGATTTTGAAAAAGAAAAGAAAAAAGCATGTGCAAAATTTACAAGTGCAGCTGCGGCAATTTCCCTCACCGCGGCAGGGAGATTTGCAAGATCAACGGCGGCGAGTCTGGCTACTCATTAATGTTCACAACTTAATGCACTGTAGCTGAGTGGGTTGTGTGTGATGTGTGGGAGAGTGTTGGCCATAGCCACTGCCGCTACTCAATGGGGGGTGGGGGAAGTAGATGGGAGGCACAGCTACTGGCAAAATGTTTGGTCTTTGCGTTAGCCGGCTCCCCCCACCGGCACCCCCACCCTAATTCCAGACCACCGCCGATTAGGGCGGGGGGCAACATGCATCCCCTTAGTTTTGAGAGGTAGCTCTGCTTGCAGGGGTCCCCTGTATAGGCTTTGGAGTAGTGGTAGGTGGATAGTAAAAGGTGAAATTGAGAGAATAATATAGCTTAGTTAAAATAAAATAAAAAAGAAGTCTCTACTTCCACACTCTTCCACAGAACCAAAACCTGGGCTCGTATCATGTGTCTCTCAAGAGTCACAAGACATCATATTTGTCTCATTGGAAAATTTGATCCCATCAGCATGGTCAGTTGGACAAGTTTGCACTTGCCATTCCGTTGGGCCAACCGGCGGGCCGTGCGCTGCAAAACCAACATGTGCAGCGCAGAACCAAAAAACTTAGTGCACACATGCAGTTATTTTGGTGCCTCGCTGTGCGAATGTTTTTATTACTTTTTAACATTTTAATGCTGCATGGTATTTGCCTTTGCAGCACGACAAGAGAGAGAGAGAGAGAGAGAGAGAGAGAGAGAGAGAGAGAGAGAGAGAGAGAGAGAGAGAGAGAGAGAGAGAGAGTTTACGTTGAGTTGGCGTTGCATCCAACGTTTCCTGCTCTGCCTGCAGCAAGAACCATAAAGTGGAAACCCAATTTTGTCAACCCCCTTACCTCCTCCTTCCCGTTCTGCCCCCTCCCTCTCTCCATGCCTTCACACCGGTGCCCTCTCTCTTCCTTTCCCCTCCCTCTCCATGCCACACAAGAAAAACGAACAGGTGCATATGACGTAAGCCATTGTCTGCATTGAGCCTCACTGCTTGACACCTTGAGCACGCACACACATTGAGAGATCACACGAAATCCACACCAGAGTCCAGAGATGCGAAGTCCAGATATGCGCAGCTTAGAAATTCCAACAAATTACCACAGTCACCAAGCGCTCAACAGCGCTACGCAATACCAGCATCCTCATCTAAGGTAGGTGACTCTCTCTCTCTCTCTCTCTCTCTCTCTCTCTCTCTCTCTCTCTCTCTCTCTCTCTCTCTCTCTNTCTCTCTCTCTCTCTCTCCTCTCTCTCTCTCTCTCTCTCTCTCTCTCTCTCTCTCTCTCTCTCTCTCTCTCTCTCTCTCTCTCTCTCTCTCTCTGTGTCCATGTCTCTATGCCTCCTCTCTCTCTTCATGCATGCGCTTTCTCTACTCTCTTCCTCTCTCTACTTGAGAATCTTGACTCTGAATACATCTGCTATCACCTGAATTGTCACTACTAGCAATGCGGCTATGGCCACCTTTCTTTCCCAACGCAGCGCTGCGCAGGAGGGCTCTCGCGCATGCTACTCGCAGATAGCGCACAAGCACTTCAGCAGCACTTCCACACTTCTCACGAATGAGCATTCTCTCTGAAATGTGGCTGGCCAGTCCCTATATTGACTTGGACTGAGCCTCAACTTGTCCCAGCCTCTGCTTCCTTTGGCTTCACTTGGACCCGGTACCACCACATGCCCACGGCGTGCTTGCTTCAGAATGTCAAGGCCTGGTGTACTTTTCTCGAATTTTCATTGGTGCCGCGACTTTTCACCTGTGGAACATGCCTTTTGACTGTGGGATGTGACTCTTGCCTCTGGGAGACAACTTTTGCCTGGAGAAGTGTCCTTTGCCTGTGGGACATGGCTTCTCAATATGAGACGTGACTTTTGCTTATAGAACGCAACCTTTGCCTCAGGGATGGGACTGTTCACCGGGTGCCTGTTGGACTTGACTCCTAAGGTACCCGACTGTGACCTTTCTGAACTGGCCGACTTGGCCTCCCTTGGCCTGAGACCTTGACCCTGAAATTTGAATTTAGGGTCTGCATCGTGGAATGCCTTTCACTCTTGCGGGCCTAATTTCGAGATCTGCATCTATGGCGAAGAACTTGGCTTAATCCACCCTTTCTCTATCAACTCATCCAACTGTCTGCGCAACTCATCGAGCTCTTCGGGAGACATCCGATAGATGGGGCCCTTGGGAATCCGGCTACCTGGTTCTATATCTATCCGGTGCTTGGTCTCCCTCTCCACTACTCCACTTCGGGCCTCTCCCACGTCAGCGAACTCGTCTAACAGACTCTACATGGTAGGTGGTGTAGGCACTTCTTCCTTTTTCCCTTCGCTAACTGATCTTACATATGCAACGAACCATGGCTACGCCCGACCCGGACCCAGACAGCTCATGTTCGGGGACCGGACGCATGTCTTGTCAGGTCGGGACGTTCAGACTTCCGGACATATCCGGACCTCCGGACATACATGATTCCGAACGGTCCGGACCGGTAACCAGGTACGGAAATGTCCGGACCATTAAAAAAAAAAAAACCTGAAAAAAAAATGTTATGCTGAATAACAATGCAAACCACTTTTGCCTCAGACTCATGTCAGAATTCCTAACCAACCTTGAGTTAAAAGCCAAAAACTATAAAAACTTTAAAAAAGACTTCAAAAGTAACGAATTGTTAATAAATAATAGTAATTCATTACTTCGGTATTAGCAGTAAATTATTATAGAGATAGACCATGTCCGGACCCTTCAAAAAAACAAAAACGGGCCTGAAAACCCCGTAAAACAATTTTGGGGGCTTGGCTCCTCAGTGGGTAAGGGTCCTGGACTTCTGGATCGTTTTTTTTTTTTCTTTTTTTTCTTTTTTTTGGCAGATCCGGACCTTCCGGAACGGACGTCTGGAGTCCGGACTGAATCCAGACCATCTGGACGGCGGTCCGAACGTCCGGATCGTAGCCATGTAACAAACACTTGTTCGACGAGGTCATTCTTGACTACGTGCCTGGCAAACGCGGGGGCACTCATAGAACAAAGGGACAAACTACTCCCCACGCCAGAAGCATGATATAAACACAACTTTAACTTTATATTCCCTCCTGTGAGACTGGGAAGCCAGCACTCGTGCTCACGCATCTTGATATCAGCATACGTGGCGTTGCCCCCGTCTGTTCCTAATATCATGTCAAAAGGAAGGTTATCCTCCACTAAGAATGTCAGGGAGTGCGGAACTTTCTCTACTTTGCCCCCTGTCTCCAACCGGAAGTATGCCTTGACCCCCTCAACATATTCGCATACTATCATCTCCCTATTATCGGCCAATTTACTAATGGCCAGCTCATCGAACTTCTTCACTTTCATACCTAGGTGCATCTTCTGCAACCCTCTTCGATTTATATGCCTGCGCGTTGACGCACTGTCTACTAACCCTCCTATTCTTTCTCTACTTACCTCTACATCGGCTATTATTAGGCTGCCCTTTTGACTTCTTCTTCATTTCGGCCCAAGCGCGGCGAAGAGCGATCAGCTCATCACCAATGCTTGCGAAGGAGCCACCTAGAGACGTCCTAACACAAGCAACCTCTGGACAGCTAGCTAGGTGGGGGCCTACATCAGTCTCTGCCATTGGGATCTGCGAACAGGAGGGTGCCTCTTCAGCGTGCGCTTCAAAAGTGCTTCAATGAATAAACATCCGATCCCCAACCACGACATATGAACCACCCAATTCTCTTCAGGTGATCTTAGTTTTCTTTGAAATTCTTTACCAGAATCCTTTTGAATAATTGTTGTGTGGCATCTGTGGTGCGCTTGTGAAATGTCTGTTTTGTGTATCTTTCTTTCTGGTTTTTGCCTGCTTCGGTATTTAAACTTAAAATCACTTATTTAAAATCACTTATTTCAGATTCATGGCTTCACTTGCGGAATGGACGATTTACTGCTCGTGCCTGTAGCGGAGCAGAAACGGAGAAAGAACTTGAGCTCTGCCGATGGCGTTGGACTGCAAGTCTGTGCATCCTTTGTCAACTTTGAGCAGCGGTATGGGGGTAAATTGCCCAAAGGTAAAGCTGTGGTCATCCAAATGCGATGTATTTTTTATTTTTTGTTCTTTACCAATATGGAGTTTCATAGAAGTGCGTTCAGCAAAGAAAAGAGAGGGAAAAGGTAGGAACACAGACACATCCAGTTGCTTTCCTGCTACTGTGCAACCATGGCACCATGCCATACCTGTGCCGTGCATTTCTGTGTGTGTGTGTGTGTGTGTGTGTGTGTGTGTGTGTGTGTGTGTGTGTGTGTGTGTGTGTGTGCAATCAGATTCGTTTTCAAACACACTTTTCACACATGTAAACAGTAACGCAGCACACTGGCGACATGCGCCCACTCAAACTCAGAGATATGGCTTCAGATACGAGTTCACTCTCAAATGGCTATGGCGACTTCAGCGTCCAAACATCTCACTGTTCACATGCACTGGATCACCCTGGATATCCCACACGCATCACTCTAACACTCGAGCACACACACACACTCACTACTAACTACAGCTATGGCAGCT